AAAGAGAGAGAGAGAGAGAGAGAGAGAGAGAGAGAGAGAGGCTGAATGACAAAATTGAAATATAGGTCAAATTGCAGCCGCGGTCTATTTCACAGTTGGAATGATTTTTTTTTAATTTATTTATCATTTTTTCTGGAAATATCACAACAAAATCTACGAGTACTCCAATTTTGGGGGGTTTTCACGCATATTTCTGAGCGCGAAAACTTACTGAATTCGGAGTACTTTCTCAGTTGGCCCACACATGGCTGAGTGGCAAAAATGGAAAACGTGTCGAATCGGCGCTACAGTTATTTCGCGGTCGAAATGATTTTTTGGAAATGTTCTGATTTATTTCCTGGAAAGAACTCGACCACATCTATGGATTATCAAAATTTCAAATTTTTCTGCGGATTTGTCTGAGCACAGAAAATCGACAAAGTTGCCTCTTGCAAAACGTCTGTTTCGTCGCGCCTAACCTCCCTGCTTTGAGAAGACGGGCCTCAACGCCTGGGCCTGAGGGCCCTCTTGCAGTTCACATGCCCTCACTTCTTGTTGGGGTCCGCTTCCACCCGAGGACCGGTCCTTCCTTTTTCCAAAAGTCCCGGTTCTATTAGAGCTAGCTGTAGGTAGTCCACAATTTTGTCAAGGACCGGTCCCCCAATTTTTTTCCACCCCTAAGAACCCACTTTGTGTCCTGGTCGCTCGCTGCCAAAAATGTGACACCTTGACACAGACGCCAAAAACCACTATATCGCAGCCTTAGGGCTTCGAACATGCTTCATGAGGGTGCACAATGACACCTATCTAGCACAACAGACTATCAGTACTTTGTAAAGTCTTGTCGGTTAACAAGTCACTATCGTACGAAATGTATGAGTCACTACAGTAGCGCCCAAATTCATCTGACTAAAAATATTTATACTCTATTTTTTCCCACGGCTGATAACGAGTCGATAGGCTAGTAGATAGCCTAACTGATAGCCTAGTCCATAGGGGGTTGAAACCCCTAGTTGATCGGTAAGTTAGATGAGTTAACATCCCAAGTGATAGCCAGTTATTGACTGACCGTGAGGGTACGGGTGCGCAACCCGTAGTTCGTTTGTTGATGTGGTTCGGGAAGGGTAAGGTTGTGATTATGCTGTATGTATGTTTTGTTGCGTTCGCTGTACACAACTCGAAGAGAGTGTGTGTGGGGTCCCGGTTGGTGCTTTATTCACGATGTTTATGGGACACTGGACCCAGTTTCCAGCAGGTGGCGCTCCCCATCAGTAGACTGGAGAATGTGTGTGCGTGTGTATGTGAGTGTG